AAAACGAGTCGCTTTTTGCTCGTTTTTGCGCCGCCCCCCCAAGGAGCACCCTACAATCTTCCTAAACACTATCCATCCCATATTTTTGTTTATTTTTGCCCCCCTTCAGCTCCCAGGAGCACTTTGCAGGCCTTTCAAACTCTCTGCATGCCCCGTTTTTCACAAAAAGTGAGACGTGCAGAGGGTTTGGGAGGTCTGCAGAATGCAAAAACCTTTTTAAAATTTATGTCTTCAAAATCTTGGTGCGTCTTATAGTCTGGTGCATCTTATATTCCAAAAAATATGGTACATCTTGATGCTATTCGAGAAATGGAATTCTAGAACCACCATGAAAAAAACCCATAATGAATGTGATTCAAAATGCAAAACATGATTGACTTCCAGGTTTGAACTACCTGTTGATAATAATGAAGTTTCATCTTTTGCAACTGCCCCGTTTGACGAGTTGGTTCTAACAGCCTGCTGGGTTACTATATTTTGTGTGGTGGAGGCTATGCTAGGTGTAGAAATATCTACATGGGGAGATCTTGAATCAAAGTCAAGTAATTCATTTAGATTTGCTGATATCTGAGGGCCTGAAAGGAGAGAAAAGCAAAAGCCCATCACATATGATCCCAAGATAGAAATCAATAGATGTTTGTTTCCTACAGAAATTCTTTTCCTTCAGATGTAGCTGGGATGTCCATGCAGCAAAATGGCTTAATAATGTGGTTTTAGGTCTTTGGGGTATATAAGATGTCCATTTTGAATGTTTATTCGCATTAAATCTATTTTAAAAACTTATTAAAATCAAATCAAAGAGGGGGCGGTGTCTCTACATGGTTTTGTCTGGGATGCTCATTTTCACAGAATGGGACAACTTGCCGTGGCCATCTCGCCACAACCAACTCGCTGTGGGGACAACTTGCCACGGGACAATTTCACACAGGATAACTCTCTGTGATAAACATTCTCCGCCACTGTTGCGCTGACATTATTTCCATTGACAAAAATAACAATAAAAATGTATTAATAAAAATCAAAGCGTTGATATCCATTCTTATCCCTCAGACATCTGGAACCACACTTGACAAATAAGTTTTAACTTAGTGCTGCTTACCTAAAGTGCTAGCAGGCAAACATAAAGGGACATTGGACTCTTTGGAAACGGAATGGTTTTTCTTCGTATTTTCAGTTTCTGGAATCTTGGCCTTAGCCTCTGAAATGGAAATTTGCACCTAGACAGAGAAGACAAGCACCAATTTCTCTGTAGTAACCACTGTGTTTATGGCTATCAGCATCTAAGGACTCTTGATTCTGCTTCTGGTTGGAAACCAACAGCTTTATGAATCTTTCGCCCAATAGTCTCTATAGCAGTGTTTCTCAACCTTGGCAACTTGAAGATGTCTGGACTTCAACTCCCAGAATTCCCCAGCCAGCGGATGCTGGCTGGGGAATTCTGGGCGTTGAAGTCCGGACATCTTCAAGTTGCCAAGGTTGAGAAACACTGCTCTATAGATTTTATGGTTTATATAGGAACTAATATCTGAACTTTTGGGGGGGTTGGTGTGTGTGTGTGAGTTAGCATAGGTTCTGAACTCATTCTGCTGAGGGAAGGAGAAATATCCCCTTTGGCCCCTAATCACCTGAACATTGGTGTCTATTGCTATATCCTCCCATATGCTGCTGGGTGAGGAGAAAGCTGGCTCCCAAAAGCAGGATGTGCAACCTATGCCTTCACAAAGTCTTGGATTGGGCTTCCCAATCCACTCTAAAAGTCATCCCTGAGTTTATAGTTCTAATAAGGCAGTGATATATATCATGGTGATATAGTGACCCCTTTTTAAAAAATCCATCCAGCGACTGGGTTCAGAGGCCCAAGAACTCTCCAGTGGGTCTGCTGGCAAGCTTGGGCTTGGTGCTACTTTGGGTAGGATAAAAAGAAACTCAAGATATCTTAATTTGGGATGAGGAACAAGTGTTAGAGAGCCTTCAGGGTCTACCAGATGATGCCTCCGTTGATTAGGAAAGCAATGAGAAAAAAGGTGTGATAGGCTGGATGGTTGGGTGGGTACAGAGGTAAAATCTAATTCCCCCTCCACCGGTTCTGTGGGTGTGGCTTGAATGAGCCGAGGTGGCGCAGTGGGTAGAGTGCAGTACTGCAGGCCACTTCAGCTGACTGCTAGATCAGCAGTTCAGCGGTTCAAATCTCACCGGCTCAGGGTTGACTCAGCCTTCCAAGGTGGGTAAAATGAGGACCCGGATTGTTGTTGGGGGCAATATGCTGACTCTGTAAACCGCTTAGAGAGGGCTGAAAGCCCTATGAAGCGGTATATAAAAATCTGCTATTGCTATTGCTATGAGCCGAGGTGGCGCAGTGGTTAGGGTGCAGTACTGCAGGCCACTTCAGCTGACTGTTATCTGCAGTTCAGCGGTTCTAATCTCACCGGCTCAAGGTTGACTCAGCCTTCCATCCTTCCGAGGTGGGTGAAATGAGGAACCAGACTGTGGGGGAGATATGCTGACTCTGTAAACCGCTTAGAGAGGGATGAAAGCCCTATGAAGCGGTATATAAGTCTAACTGCTATTGCTATTGAATCCTTGGATATGTAACTTTTGCATGTTTTGTCCTAGTTAGCCAACACAAGAGAGATTTGATTAGGCAAAATTAGTATTTTGGCTTTAGAACCGCTACTAGGTAATAAGGGTTTTGTTTGCTAATAATCATATAGACCACTTATATTGTAACTTTTGAGCATATATTCATATTATTTGGGGAAAAAAATCCTAATAATATCCTTCACGGTATTAACTTACATTGCTTGAGGCACTGAGAGTTTTGGGGTGGAGATCCAGTTTAGTTCCTGGAAGAAGGACAATATTAATTCATTTTAGAACTTGCTGCATAAGAAAAGGGGGAGAGGGGATGCTGTTCTATGTAAAGGTACAAATAGTTAAAGGAATTAAAGGCAAGAAGACCCTCCCATCGATTCCGAGATGAATGAATTAATCAATCTAGATAGTGGGCACATTTCAGTAAAGCCTGGGAAAGTTTAATTCTAAATAATCAATCAGGACCAGGAAATTTTCACTGTCTTGAGTAATTATTGTTGTTTTTTTAAAAAGGAGACAATTTCATTTTGCCTTTCATTTTTTAATTTTCTGCCCAAAACAGCCACCCACAATCCTGGAACAAAGATTGATAAAGAAATCAGAAACCTCCAGCTTGATCAATTATTATTCTTTCGTTAATGTAATATCTAGATGGACAATTAATTTTCCCAAGGGGCCACATTAGAAACTGGGGCTGTTATGGTGGCCAAACCAATAGGCTGAACTTAATTCTGCTGCTGGTGCCAATGTATTGAGGGAGGAGGGAATGTGGAGCCTCACTTCAGCCCAGCTGCTTCTGCTGCAGATGCAGAAAAGCTCTTTCTCTTGTCAGTGAACTAAAGAAGCACACTTGTCTTCTTCTCCTGCCCCTCCAGCACTCTTAATTACATTTTATTTTGTAACTTCCAAGTGGCCTCACATGGGCCAGAAAGGGACAGCCAAAATGCCCAGGTCTGATGTATATGATGGGTTGATCTGAAGCTCAAATGACATTTTTAAAGATTTGCAGTTCTGACTTTTTAAGTTTCTTTAAGAAAGAGCATTGTTCAGAACCTGTAGCTTCAGGTTGCTTCAAATATCCATACTATGCTTTCTTTCCATCTGTGAAATCTTTTGGTTTGTTGTAAGATTTAAACTCTCCTCTGACATTTGAAAGGTACACTATAAAATCAATCTTTATAAGACAAATTGGGTCCTTTTGTCACTTTATGCTTTGCTTGCTATGTCCTGACCCGAGGAAGACAGGTTGGGTGATGACATGCACCAATCTCCAACAGATCAGCAAGATCTTAGAATGGAAGCTAGGCCAGAATCAATCCCAAACCACAAGAGACATTCCAGAAAAAAAAGAGAGTTATGCAACTATTTTACTCATGTAACTTATAAACTTGCTGGGAAATGTGCTACTTTACCTTGCACACAGGATGACTGTGGCTCAGGTGTCACAGTAAAGGATACGTCAGTTGCAACCGGTGTGGGCACATCTAAATGTAGTTGAAGAAGGTATCCTTCAACAGTAGGAACTTCGTCCCATTTAACTTGAAATGAATTAGTTGTAGCTCTGATCAACTGTACCTGCGATGGTGCTGGTGGTTTCTCTTAAAAGAGAAGAATGCAATTACAATAAAATGAAAGTCTTTGTTTAAGATTTTAAATTTTCTAATACAAGCATTATATACACAGCATGCTTCAGAAAAGAAGCATTTATTCCAGCAAGTTCTCAAATGAAGAGAAGGAACACACATTAATATTGTAAAGACAGTCCAAGCCTATCTAATATCTAGTGTCAAAACTCTACGAGAGTGTATCTCAATCTCAACCACTTTAAGACGTGTGGAGTTCAACTTCAAGAATTCCCCCCCAAGATTCTCTCTTGATACCTGAACCTATAGGCACAAAATTCCTCAATATCCTTTGTTTGGACAGTTTTGATTAGAGGAGAAAATAATGGTTTGCTCAGATATGTAAGCTGGGAAGGAAAAGGAAAAGGCTTAAAGTATTTTCTTAATTCTTCAAACTACAGGGCAGGCATAACAGTAACAGATGTTAGAACTGAAATGTTAGAACTGGAATGTTAAAATGGAATCAATCACAGTATCCTTCATTAAGCGAGTCCTTATTTACTGAACTAATTTAACTGCCTATTGTTCTCATACCAATAAACAATAAACTAACCATGTTTCAGCCTTGTGGATTGTGTAACTCCAGCCTAAGTGTGGAGTCTCAGAAGAGAGCAATTCTTACCTACATTACCTGGTTTTTTTAAAGTTTCAAAAACATCACCAATCCTCTATCAAGTATACATAAAATCATTGTTATCCTTATCCTTTTTGAAGCAAAAAACTCTAAAGTATTCAATTCATAGATGCATCAGTTTTTCATTGTATCGTTGTTAATCTATTTCACAGCATGATTGGTGATATAATGTATAATCTTAAGAACATATTACAATGATATCTTGTTGTTGATAAATAATTTTAATAAGGGAATAATTA